TGTATTTTTAAGTAGAGGTAGGGTTTCTCCATGTTGGTCAGGCTGGTGTCAAATTTCCGAGCTCAGGTGATCCGCCTGCCTCAGCCTCCCAAAGTGTTGGGATTACAGGCGTGAGCCCCTGTGCCCAGTCGAGGTCCTCTTTTTACATAGTATGTACTGAACCATCACACCAACATTGTATCTGATTTTTGCATTAGAAAATTTTTTTTTCTGGAAAATAAAAATATTTTTATTGAATTTGCCTAGGAAATCTAGGGAGATCTGGAACATATTCTCCTCTGAGCTATTTTATATGACTGTATCTCAAGTCATTCTCGAATTTCTCTGTCTCTTTTTTCCATCCAAACTGTGCTCAGTATAAATTACCAGGTTGTCCCAGGGACTTTAACCCTGTGTGTGGCAGTGACACGTCCACTTATCCCAATGAATGTACTCTGTGCATGAAAATCATGTAACGTGATTTTACAACTGTAAAATTTTCCTTCATTTCTTTTTTTGTTTGTTTGTTTGTTTGTTTCTTTGTTTTTTTGACACAGAGTCTCACTCTGTCACCCAGGGTGGAGTGCAGTGGCAAAATCTTGTCTCACTGCAACCTCCTCCTCCTGGGTTCAAGCAATTCTCATGTCTCAGCCTCCTAAGTAGCTGGGATTACAGGCACCACCACCATGCCCAGCTAATTTTGTATTTTTAGTAGACATGGGGTTTCACCATGTTGGCCATGCTAGTTTCAAACTCCTGACCTTAAGTGATCCATCTGCGTCGGCCTCCCAAAGTGTTGGGATTACAGGCGTGAGCCACCGTGCCCGGCGTCTTCGTTTCTTTTGTTGGATTTTGATTACTTAGGAGGTAGTGTCTGTTTTCTTGGATATAAGTATCAAAAGTGACATGGTAGTTCTCAGTTTTCAGGGTGTTGGTTAAAAAGATGCAAAATCCTCAGTGCATTTTTCAAGTCAAGTTAAAGAATGAGATGTAATCAAATTATATTATTGCCCATGAATTCGAAATTTCATAAAATTAAGAGTCTATTGAATAGTTAAACTCTGTGGAGTATTAAATTTTATCTTTAATTCAAGGGGCATGTGTGGGTGATCTGCACACCCTGTACTACTAGTCGGGAAGTAGGACTTACTGACTCTACTTAGTGGAATGCTAAGTAATGAGTGTATTATACTTGATATGCTTCATGTAGCACACCTGACCAGGTGACTGTGACTGCTTCTTCAGGTATGCAGCTTTGTATAGAGCAGGGATTCATTATGTGACTTCAGTCGGTCTTCTCTGATTTTTTTTTTTTTTTTGAGACTGAGTCTCACTTGTGGCCTGGCTTACTGCAACCTCTTCCTCCCAGGTTCAAGCAATTCTCCTGCCTCAGCCTCCCAAGCAGCTGGGATTATAGGCATGTACCATCATGCCTGGCTAATTTTTGTATATATATATATATTTTGATTTGGAATTTTGCTCTTATTACCCAGGCTGGAGTGCAATGGCACAATCTCAGCTCACTGCAACTTCCACCTCCAGGGTTCAAGAGATTTTCCTGTCTCAGCCTCCCAAGTGGCTGGGATTACAGGCAAGAGCCATCATACCCAGCTAATTTTTGTACTTTTAGTAGAGAAGGGGTTTCACCATATTGGTCAGGCTGCTCTTGCACTCCTAACCTCAGGTGATCCACTTGATTTGGCCTCCCAAAGTGTTGGGATTACAGGCGTGAACCACCACACCTGGCCTAATCTTTGTATATTTAGTAGAGATGGGTATTCACCATGTTTGCTAGGCTGGTCTTGAACTCCTAACCTCCAATGATTCACCCACCTCAGCTTCCCAAAGTGCTGGGATTACAGGTGTGTTCAGCCCTCTGAGTGATTCTTTGGGGTTAGTGTCCTGTGCCTTAGGGTTAGGGAAAAAATGGCTGAGTGGGGACTTTCACCCTATTTCCTAGATTTAGCTTTAAAAAATGATTAAGTGTAGCCCTGAAGGAATATAATGTATAATTACATGGGTCCTTTTAATATTAATAGTGAGGCAGTTTCAGTATGATAGGTAATGATTGTGTTTCTATGATTGTTCAGTTTGCAGGGAAGATGGTCATGATATTAAAATCATCCAAAATGAACCCTGCTAATGGAGCAGTTTACAGAAAAGAAGATGGAGTTACCACCTTGATTGGCACACTAGATAAATCGCATTTCCTCTTTTTCTCTTTTCCTATGTTTCTTTGCACGAGATTTGTTAACCCACATTTTCTAAGAGGAGATATGGAAGACAGCCATGTGTAGTGATGGATAATTTAAAGAAAGAAAGAATCTTCCTTTCTTGGCTTTTGCTCCTAGAGTTAAGCTTACTGCCTAGATGACTTGTGCATTGGTTTATTCAGTTGAAATAAAATCAGCATTGAATTCAGTTCTTACTGTTCTCTGTTGAAAATGCTGTTCTCATTTCAGGGGAGGCAGAATTTTACCTCTATCCTTTAAGAGTTTTTCAGCTGGGTCAGAGAATTAAATGAACACAAGACAGATCAACAGGATCAGAAGCATACAGACTTATTTAATACAAATTTCACTTGGCATGGGTGTCTTCAAAAAGAAACGCTCAAAGACACAGAGTTGAACACTTATATGCTGAATTAGACAAACAGTAGTGAATTATGAAAGTGTGGCATGGCAGAGGGGCTTGGGCTGAGTTAGTTGGGTGGAGAAGCGGCTGGGAGGATAAAGTTTGTTTGTACACATTTCCCTTGACCTCAATTTCCAATTTTCCCCAGTCCTTGATGATAAAAATGTTACTTTACTTCTGGCATAGGGAGGATATCTTTCACATGGGAATTTTATCTCCTGCTTTTAAGAAACAGAAGGAAAGTCATAATGACCTTCTTGCACCTGCTGTTCTTCCAGTGTTTTTAACACAAAATAGTCAATATTGCCAGGGCAGCATATTTTGGGCTGGCATATTCTTAACACCTTCGTCACTCAGCAGCCTCACATGGCTCTGTTCCTCTCAGGCATGGGTAAATTTCAGTGGGTGAGAAGTGGAGTTGTTGAGAGGGTAAGATCTAATTCCTTTCCCTAATTCTTGGATAATTTTATGTGTAATTGGTACAGTGTTCTGCACATGGCAAGTAACTGTAAGATACCTGGATCTAACATTAACTCAAACTGGTAAAGAATCAATGGAGGTACAAATATTTATTAGATTAAAAATTTCCTTTCAATACAGTTTCCATTCTGAGTTCACACAGGAGTTTGGCTTTTCTTAGATCAGTGGTTCTCAATCCAGGGTGATTTTCCCCAAGGGGACATTTGGCAGTGCATCTGGAGGCATCTTTGGTGTAACAGCTGAGGTGTGGAATGCTACCCAGGGATGTTTCTAAACAACATGCATTGCATAGGCAGCCCCCAACAGCAAGGAATTTTCCAGTCCAACCTCAATAGTGCTAAGATTGAGACATCCTGGTTTAGAGTTTGATACAGCATAAGCATTTTATAACAATAACATAAGTGACCAGGGATTCAGAATGACAGCATTTTCCAGGTAGAGAATTTTGAGTCACAGGGCCTGGGTTTAAGTACGTTCCAGCACCAGGACATAGTGAGACACGATGCAAGAGGTCGCTGGGAGAGTGGTATAGTGGAAGAACATGGTTTTTGGGGGTGAGCTAAATATGAGTTCATTTTGATTCCAATTCTTGTGTTTCTGTTTTCAGATCTGAAAATGGGCTGATGCTTAGCTCCTGGAGCTATGATGAGGAAACTGCTTAGCATAGTGCTTGGCACATAGAAACCACGGTAATAGGTGCTACTGTTGCTTCAGGCACCTCTCCTAGAGAGGAGAAAACAGGCCCACAAAGACAAACACATTTGCTTAAGGTGATAGAAAGCATTTAAAACTGAGCCCAGACGTCCTATGGTGGCTCTTGCCTGTAATCCCAGCACTTTGGGAGGCTGAGGTGGGCAGATCACGAGGTCAGGAATTCAAGACCAGCCTGGCCAATATGGTGAAACCCCACCTCTACTAGAAATACAAAAATTAACCGGGCCTGGTGGCACGCACCTGTAGTCCCAGCTAGTCGGGAGGCTGAGGCAGGATAATCACTTGAACCCAGGAGGTGGAGGCTGCCAGCTTGGGTGGCAGAGTGAGACTCCATCTAAAAAACAAAAAACAAAACTCAGCCCGGTCTAGGAGCCTGGACCTGCAAATTTTAAGTCCGCTGTTTTTATACAAAATAGGGGCAATGAAGTGGAAATCTGTATAACATAAATGTACCACAATTATTGTCCTGTAATTATTTTTGGCTTAAAATTTTTATAGAAGTCATATATGCTTTTTGGAGAATTAAAAAAAATATATGGACCAGGTGCAGTGGCTCACACCTGTAATCCCAGCACTTTGGGAGGCTGAGACAAGAGGATCACTTGACGCCAGGAGTTCAAGACCAGCCTGGGCAACATAGGAGATGCTGTCTCTATTAAATAAATAAATAGATAGATACAGAAGTATATAAAAATAGAGTGAAAGTCTTATCCATCCTAGCTTCCAGAGATACTTAAAACTGTTTTGAAATGTCTTTTCTCTCTAAATATATGTGTATACAAAATTATACACACGAACTGTCCTGTTAACTTGCTTTTACTCTTAAATATTGGGTTTGTTTCCATGTTGATATATATTGTTTCTTCTTCTGTTTTAAAAATTTATTATTATTATTTTTGAGACTGAGTCTTGCTCTGTTGCCCAGGCTGGAGTGCAGTAGCATGATCTCTGCTCACTGCAACCTCTGCCTCCCAGGTTCAAGTGATTCTCCTGCCTCAGCCTTGCAGGTAGCTGGGATTACTGGCATGCACCACTACACCCGGCTAATTTTTCTATTTTTAGTAGAGATGGGGTTTTACCATGTTGGCAAGGCTCATCTGGAACTCCTGACCTCAAGTGATCCTCCCAAAGTGCTGGGATTACAGGCATGAGCCACCATGCCCAGTC